CACCATAGCACACTGTTCGTTTCGCAAGAAAATTGAGGAAAAAAATTCCAAGAAGTAAAACTCCAGTTGATTGTTTCATTTCAAATTCCATTAAGTTTTAGAAAATAATTTCCTGTAAGGAAGGAAAATATAGGAAACATACCTTAAATAAATTGGGAAGTTGTTTTCCCTTGACTGAGACCGAAGGAGTTTATATGGGTAGAAGTTGTATAAAGCTTAAATTCTAACAAGTTCACAACATATCTCCCTCCCTTGCTCTCTCTCTAAGTGTGTTTGTCTGTCTGTGGATCAGTTTGCTTTCAAGCAGATCTTTTGAATCTTAATGCTGAGTTTGGGTTGAAAACTAGACTTTCGTAGACTCAACAAGCTAAACAATATCTCCATCAACAATCAATAAGAAAATATTATTCATCCACCTTGTTATTGCAAAACTATGTCCTGCCAAACTCACAGGACTTCTGATGCTAAAAATTTGACAAAGTTTCAATTGCTCAAAATAAGAAACTAACAAAACCAAGTTGTGTACCTGTATGTATAAAGACTTCAGCTACTTCAAGATGACACGTATGTATTTGTCGACGAACACATATCAAGAAATTCAACCAACCTCAATAGTTACATCAAGATACAGATAGGAGCCAACTCTCCTCCCCCTCAGGTGTTTGCATCCCTGCATTGATCAATTATAAGCAAACATGTCAGGAATCTAGTTTTCACGAAACCCATATCAAGGGTAACAGATTTTCAGCAGCCAAGTGCCAATAGATAGAGCACCATTTCTTCTCCATGGCTTCTTCTTCCCATGTTCTCCTCCATGCAATTGGTTTTCTTCTCCTCTTTGTTTCTCTTGGGCTAGGGGGTTGTGAATAGTTTATGATTTTGAGGAGAGAAACAAAACAATAATAGCTTGGCATGGTGGTGAAATGACAAGGAGAAGAATCACTCACAGCCCCTATCTTGAGGACAAAAAAGAGGGAGAAACAAAAAAGGGGGAGAAAAAAGACATGAAATGCTGAGGCATAAGGTGTATAAAATAGACTAAGAGACATCTCCTAAAGGAACATATAAAGAACCCAAAAAAAAAAAGAGGCAGCATGATGCACACAATTATAAGAGTAAGCACGCCAACGTTGAAATGCACCCAATAAAATCTAAACTGTAAAAAAGGCAATAAGAACACCCAATTCGTCTTGGCTGTAATTTAAATAAATTGAAATGCACAATTTATGCCCACATAGTGCACCAGCCAGCAGATATATGATAAACCTGTCAAACAACAAAGACACGAAGCATCCAATCGTATAAAAGCAAAGAAACTAACCCGTGTCAACAAATACCTTGTTTACGAATGGTATAATGACAGCTATATTTAGCGATCTAGATGCATAATTTCTCAAGTTCAGACTTCTTGGGTACAACAGAAAGTCTGATTATCCTGGAATATAAGCAAGTCAATGCAACCATAAAGAAAAAGAAAGCCAATGAATTGTAGGAGAAAATAAGAAATTGAAAAGGCCCAAAGATATGGATCTACGTAAATTCATACAAAAGGAACCACAACATTCACTGAATAAAAATTGAGCTGTTAAGAGAGCATGTAAAACTCAGTCCCACATATCTCATTACAACCATATACAAATGGGTGTCATGACAGTAGAAGTATGCCAAGGATGTTAAGAGTTAGAATTTATGAATCATTTTGCAACTATAAGTTTTATAATAATACTCCCATAAAAAAAGACACCTTAGCCTAGCTACAAGTGTATAACAATAAGCATTTAGTAACATCTCAAATTGCAGGGCGTCACTCTTGCTCTCAAGTTTCAATTCAGAAACACTTCTCCAATTTTTCATGTAAGCAAAGCACTGATGATTTGCATAGTCAATATGAACTACAACTCAGCTTTTAATTGTTGATGAAAAAGATCAATGGTTATTACCAACCGCTATCAATCCACTGCCTGTCTTTCCCCTGCCCTCTTTGTTATACGGTATAGCCTGTGAATAGAAAAAACTTAGACACTACATTGATGAAACAACCAAAAGAAGGAACAAGATAAACTCCTCGCCTGACTGGAAAATCTAATCCAATATCGGCGGCAAGACCTAACCGGAAAATCTTCTCGCCTGACTAGAGATCACGGTGGTCATCGTGGTGGTGGTGAGAATAGCCCAAGTGCCACCGCTTAGAAATCTTGAAATTAGGGTTTTCAGTATACGTCGGCGAATAATCGTATAACTGAGGATTGAGAGCTCCGATTATAGGGCTCTGACGATGAGGAGAAAGAGGAGGATAAGGATTGAAGTTCTTGTATGTGTATGATGAAATTCTTGATACAAAAGGAAGATTTGAAGTCCATCTGCAGTGGTGCCTCTTGGAGCTGCTCAGTCGCTGGAGTGGTCGCTGCTCAGTCGTTGGAGTGGTTGTTGCTCAGTCGCCGGAGTGGTCGCTGGAGAGCTGCCTCTCGTAGTTGTGGTCAGTCGCTTGGTGGTCTGAAATTTTTGTGGATCGATTTAGGGCAAAAGAATTATATTCTGCGACGAAACAAAAAAAACGTTGCAAACCAAAAAAACAAAAAAAAATTTAGGGCAAAACAATTTTTAAAAAAATTATATTTTGCGATGAAAACAAAAAATGTCGCCAAAAATATTATGACATGAATATTCACCCACCAACTTAAAATGTTGGGAAAATTAATTAAATTTTTATTTTAACAATTTTTTATTTACGTAAAAATTTATTGGCGATATTTTTCTAAAAAAATTGCAAAAAATTAATTTAATTATTATTTTTTAAATTTTTTATATATGTAAAAATTTATTGGCAACGTTTTTCAAAAAACGTCGTGTAAAATTAATTTAATTATTCTTTTTTAAATTTTTTATTTGCGTAAAACTTTATTGGTGACGTTTTAAAAACAACGTCGCGAAAAATTAATTTAATTATTATTTTTAAAATTTTTTATTTATGTAAAAATTTATTGGCGATGCTTTTAAAAAATGTCGTGAAAAATTAATTAAATTATTATTTTTATTTAATTTGTCAATTTTCGTCATTTCTTCCCCCAAAAATAATTAGGAGGGGATCGCCTTTTTGCGACGTTTTATTATAAACGTCGCAAAAAAATTGTCAAAATAAAAATTTATGACAAAATTATAAAATCCTCAGGAGTACACTTTTTGTAACAAATTTAAAATTGTCGCAAAAAATATATTTTGTTGTAGTTAAAAAAAAAAAAGAATAAGGTCCGGTTACCATTGTTAACTCTTTACACGCACTTCAAACATTGATCCACAAGAAAGTGACAATAAGGCCTCGTTTGATAATTTTTTTAGTTTTCAGTTTTTGATTTCACTTTTTTTGAAAATTACAAAAAACAATGTGTTTGATAACATTTTGATGCTGTTTTAGTTTTCCACTACTTTGAAAACGTTTCTAGTTTATAGTAAGTTTTCGAATTTTTTTTTTTTTTTGAAAACAACAAAAATCAAAACTGGGGGAATGTTTAGGTGCAACATAATGAGATCTTGACAAAATGCATTTCGCCACTACCACCGCCACCTCCAACCACTACCTCCACTGCCATTATGATAACCCTCCACAACCACTTGGAGGAGCTGGTTGAGATGACCTTGAGCTGGAAAAGGGACCATGACCACAGCCACTTGGGGCTTTTTCAAGCCATCTGCGCCATGGTTTTTGTTTTCCTGGTGGTTGGCCATTTGTAAGCTAAGTCTGAGTTCTTTACGAGGGTTGGAAGTTCAGATGCATTTCATTGTTGAGGCAGGTCATCTGTAATATATAAGGATGGTGTTGATGATGATTTCAATGCGAATTTTTTTTTATTTTCTTGTTTTTTTTTTGTTCTATATAGGAAGGTTTTTGAACACTTCAAATAGACACTCCCCTCTAAAAACACTCTATAATATAAAAAATAATTATTTTTTTAATTACGTATTTAGAAATTAGAATAGATATACAGAAAGTGAGAGAAATGTAAGGAGAAAAAAGAGAGATAGACGCGGATTGGATTAGTGAGATCGTTTGACATTAAAGAGTGTATTAGTTGGTTCATCTAACATTAGAAGTCGTGCACATAAGATGACGTTTTTTGTTGGCAAATATTTTTTTAGAATCAATTTTGTACCGTAGATAAAATTAGATGAAGATTAAGTTAATTTCAACCGTTATTATATTTTAATAAATGTGAAATTCAGATTGCTAGCTATAATATTCGATAGATAATACAAATTTGATAAGTATAATATTAGTGTATATTTAATGCGGAGAAATGCTGCTTTGGAAGCAACGGTGAATTGATATATAAAATTCTGTGAATAAGTTGATTCCAAAGAGCATTAACAAATGTAGCAGTTGAGCAGAATTTGGCCAATAGATTAAAAGTTTCGAGCAGGACAAATGAGCATAATTGGAATTTTATTTATGTGAAGCGAATGAGGATTATGATAGACAACCTGTGTGGTGTATGTCGTAGAGATGCCGAAAAAGGGATACATATTCTGCTGGAGTGCTATTGGATTTGAATCCTGCAAAATGGGTAAGAGGAATGTAGCAGTTGATAAAGAAAAATGAGGAAGAATTTGTGTTATTTCTAGTGTGAAATTTGATGATGCACAACTTGATTTTATGCACTACTGTGTCGATTAATTAGTAATTAATGCAGTAATTAAGAAGAGAGAAAGAATTAACACTAACAAGATAAAGATGTAGAGTAGTTCGGTCAACGTGACCTACTTCATATGAAGGGCCAAGATGACCTGGTGTTTTATTACTTCAAGGAGTGTAAAGAGATCCGGGAAGAGCAAATGAGGTACAAGTTATGAGAGAAGTGAGAGTGATATAAGATGTGCTCGATACCCCTATGTATTGGCGGAACTTATAAATTATAGTGTCTTCTAACAGACTGATGTGACTTTTCAGTAACTAAGTAACTTATTTGGTAGAAATGACGTCATCCTCTCAACGACTGAGCCGGTTATGGAGTTCCTTTGAGATCAGGTTAAAGGATGACGTGATTGACTTCTTCTAAGGCAACGTGAACGAGGCTCTTGACATAGCGATGCCTACTCTTTGATAGCATAATTTCTGGAATCCTGATGAGTCTGACCGAGTATGAGCCTCTTTTGGGTTAGACCCATTAGATTTATATAATTGAGTTATAACTTGAGTTGGGCCTTTTTACCTGACCCATCAGAGTTAGATGATTTGGTGGCGTTGAAATGAAATGGTTTAGGTAGGATGGTCAAAAAAATCAACCGTAATCACTCAGGCTACGTTGTAATACATCAAGCGAATCCAATAATTTGTAGAGCTCATGCCTTCCGTTGCTCAGTCAATTGGTGCTTCCCGTCAGAATTCACCCAATGCAGGTAAGTTCAAGGCGAATTTTTGAAGATGTCTTGATAGTAGGCCAAAAAATTGGAGCGGGAGTAGTTACACAAGAGGAGACGAGAGTTTTTGTGGCTGACTTATCCAGGAAGATTGAAACTAGGGGGTTCATGCCTAGAAGTAGGAATGATTGTGTTGAGCGAGGCCATCAAATTCGCCTACCAACAAGGCGTCAATGAGGCTGTTTTTGAAGGACAGACAATAAAAATCTTCAAGCTGTTGAAAGAGGATTGTGATTTAGCTGTTGCGAGCTCCTCGCTTTTCGCTAGATCTGTGCCCTCTAGCTGTAGAATTTTTTTGGCCTATCGAAAGGTTCAAATTGGCCCTTTCTTTGATAGTCGACAAATTTAACTTATACCAAATTCCATAGAATTGGGTTGATCGCCTGGAATCAAAACAAAAGATGACTTTCGAACTCGTTGAAGATCCTTGTGGCTCCGGATCCCTCCAATCCAGCTGGTCGTTGGGATGAGCCTGCAATCCTGGGACCAGTTCTAGTAGAGACAAGACATGAGTTACAAAAGTTTAGATCCGTAAATTTGAGTATAGTAGCAAGAATTGGCAATAGGGTGGCACATAGCCAAGTTCAACAAGTTAGTTTTGTAGAAGATTTTATTATATAGTAAGAGCGTGCATCTGAGTTTGTAATGTCGCTCTTAATCTAAGAGATTTTAGTCTGAATAAAACATCTTAGAGTCTATTCAAACAAAAAAAAAAGATTAATTACAAAATATCCCTTTCAAGTTTGGATCATGTTATAATTAACTCTTTGTTTTAATTTTAACAGTTTATCCTCTTCACAGATTTGAATTGTAGAAACAGTTTCTCTATTTATAATTGTAGTGGTAAGACTGCGTATATCTAACTCTCTTCAAATCCTATAATAACGAGAATCTTGTGCATCGACTACACTTTTTTTTTTCTTTAGAGAGAATTATAGATTTTTCTCTAAACAATGTGACGTGGGTCATGGCCCCTCGTCCTGCATGTGGTTCCATCCTTGATGGACAGCCTCTATGTCCGGGCTCTCACCCAGGGTGTTCTACTGACTGTTACTTCCTCCCAGCCACCGGGGCATGACACACGGCCCGACACACGGTTGATTATACTGGACTTACCTTTTAATGGGTCGTAATTTAGATATACTAATTCAAATTATCGGATTTAACGATGTAAAATTCCAAGGGATGAGTTTGGGCACTAAATTACTCTTTTTATACATGAACAATAACAGTCTCCGTCCAGATTGTTGAAAAAAAATCATGAAATAAAGGGTTAGAAGAGATTACCTTAAGGTCACTATATGTCCCAATTATATGAGAGCCATTCTAAATGGGCTTGCTAATAAATTGAGTTCTAATTAAAGCGATTTTGAATTTAATTTGAAAATTCTAATCCAAACATCTGAAAAATTACTTTTTCATAGTCAACTTCCAAAATCAGTGAAAAATCAAAAATCCAATCCGAGTTGAATGATTCAATTAGTGTTGAATTTTAGGAAACCAAGTCTAAAATTCAATTTACTATTATCAT